TTGCTTTTTAACCCTTAACAATTTTTTTTTAAAAGATGTGAGATTTTAAATTGAAAAAATAAATTCTGATTTTAATTTCAAAATAATAATAATTTTTTAATAAATATATTGTGTAATATATTAAATTAAAAGAAATATCAATAATTGTTATTTTTTATTATATTTTCAAAATAAAAATTTTCCAATCAATAAAATTGTAGAACGGACTTAATTAAACTCACAATCTGACTTCCAAGCACTTAGGCTTGCGCAGTGGATCCTTAGGCCATAATTGAATTTACCAAGCTCTTAATTTGAAATAGTATATAGACATGACACTTCACGATCATATTTTCCAGCCTTACATTATCTTTAGCACACCACACTATTGTCAACAAGATATTGACTCAGTGATTTTCCAGAAAGGATTGCAATTTAATTCTAACTGTTACATGCTTCAGAAATCAATACAAAGGTGACCCATGTTTTCCTCCTGTTCACAACAGCCACCCCATTGTTTTCATTAGAGACCTTGGGAGTTAGGAAGAAACACAATGACCCATCTGCAATTTTCAAAGACAAAAGTCACACAACAATGTCAATCAACCAAAAAAAAAAAAAAAAAAAACAAATTCCATATTTTCCTTGTCGGTATGATTATTCTATCCTCCTCCATGATTAATCAAAACTATTGTTCCGGCGGTCAAGTCACATTAATTAATTCCACCAATACCTTTTTACTAAGATCATGTTATCTTAACAATATTCATCCGAAGACTTAGTCAATGTTACGTGGAAATGTATAGTTAATTATTTTAATTCTTAATTAATAGTAGGAATTTCTTGGTGAAGTTAAATATGAGAGATCTATAAAAGAACAGTACGTACAGTGTATATATATATATATATGTGGATCAGTGTGGAAGTGATTGGTTTCGCGCAGATCTTGAGGCATGTTCGGAATCAAGGTGTTGGTATATATATCTTCACTTCAGACACTGAACATATTTTTTACATTATAAGTATGTAACAACTTGACAGGGAGATAAGTGTTATTAATTAGCCTAATGCCTGAAACAAGCTGGTTATAAAAAAAAATTGACACTATGGAATTTGTCTCGGGTTAAATTTAACAATTTTTGAAGTTTTGATAGGATTCGTTGCATTACTGGCAATATCGCAACAAATATGATGTTACGTACCTTCATAAACTCGATCTCAAATTTAATTTCTTATAGATGTGTCATATGTAATCTTAAGGTCGCATTGTGGTATCATTGTATGTGATCAATTTCAAAACTCAGGACTCCTCGAGGACAACCTTACAATGGGCGCAAGTATGAAATTAAATTACAAAGTTTAAATCTTTATACAAGTGAAGAAGGTATTTGAAAAGTATATGTCAAATTTAAAATATATTTTACATGATGAAAGATCTGTTTATACACAAATTTTATATGTTACATTTATATAAAATCTTAATTATTTATATCTCTACATTCAATGGTTAAAATTTATTATGATTTTTTAAATTAAAAAATATCTTTAATTAATGTGAATAAATCTCAATTATTAAAAATAAAAAAAATTGAGATTTTGTGTAAATATGGTATATAAAATTTATATGTGTAAATGAATTTTTACTCATTTTAAGTCTTAGTATATATGTAGTACCATTATATAATTATTATAATTAAGTTTGGAAAATACAAGAGCTCTGCAAGCATTTGTAGCATATATATATATATATAAAGTTGTTTTAACTTGTGCTTTAAAGCATATATTAAAGAGGTACCGAGCCATTTGGGCCAAGTGACAATAACCACTCGTAATGCATTCCCCCCTCTCCCAGGATTGGGGTTCGAACCCAACTCCTTGTAAAAATCTGTTCAAAAAAAAAAAAGCATATATTAAAGAGTAATTTTTTTTATCATAAATATACATAAAAAATATAAAAATTGATATTAATTTTAATTTTAATATAAATGTCAAGTGGATAAATTTCATTAAGACTGCTAAATTAAAGATCAAATTTTATTTTTTAATAAATTTATAACAAAAAAATAAATATTTATTATAACCTTAAAAGTCCAAATTAAAAAACCCTACATATAATTAAGATAGAAAAGGAAAGAGCTAACTTGTTTTTCAAAAGTCAAGATTCTAAGCAATCACAAGTGAGGCCCTCTTCCCGTCTTATATATATGGTCTTAGTCTCTTAGACCACTTAATTTATACCCTTACTATAAGTACAAAATAACCAATAGATCTTGCCTACAGTTTATAATAACAATAAAATAAAAAAAAAAAAGGAATGAGAAGAGCAGAGTGAAATCAGAATTCTTAGAAGTAGCATACAAGACAAACAATAGTCTAAATTATTAAGGTATTAATGTAAGATTCCTCCTCGACCTCTCTAAATATAGCCATAACCTCCGAAAACTAAGCTTTAACATTAATATATTAATTCGAATTTTCTTACACTGACCAAAATATATACATAGATGCTTCTACACTCCATATCTTGTCCTAAAAAATGTCCTCAAAACTTGAGTAGTATAGTACTGTAGTATGTTTTAAGTTTAATCCTTGTTAGTTCCCGAGGAATAGTTGACATTGATCCCATTACTATAATCCCACTCCTTAATTACATGATCAACTGCATTTGTGATTTGTCAGTCTTTCTGAACTCATATATTTTGTTCCGCGTCGGTAGCTGCAACAATTTTTTAACATCAATTTAATATCATAAACACTAAGAAATAACACATAAACAAAATCGTGTTCAGTACATTTCTTCCAATGCTGTCGGGGGGAACCCGAGAAGAAAACCATGTATACACAATGCATATTAATTAAGTTCAGAAGCTTATTTTTACTTGGAAGTTTGATTCTGAATTTGAAAGAGTTAAAATTTTGTCTGTCTATATTTATACCTCTGCAATACAACAGGTGAATGAGTGCCACGTGGAGTGAAGTTACAGGCTGGTATTTGAGCGGAAGTCGTTACGATTAGGTTGTCCTAATATTAACATTTATATAGCATCAATATGTTTGTTCGAACGAAATGAATTTAATTTTTTTAAAATAAAATTTTAAATTTAAATAGTTAGAAATAAGCATTTGAAGAACTTCTTATTTGCAGGGTTCAATCCGATTTAATTTTAAATTAATAAGGTCAAATATAATCTCTGAATATTGAGAGTTAATACCAAAAAAATGAAAATAACATTTCTATGGTAAAAAAAAAAAAAAGAAGATTTTTCTAACTTTAGGATACATAAGTTAAAGGTGCATTTAATGTACATTTTCATCATTAATTATATAAAAAAATTATGAAAATGAATTTTATTTTTAACAACAATATCTTGTAAAATTATTTAATTAGATAATTGATAAAATTAAAGTTAATTTTTATTTTTATATAAATTAATAATAAAAATATATAATAAGTATAGACTTAACCTATACCCTTAAAAAATATGTTACAAAAATAAAAATAAACGTCGGAGGGGGAGGTTTTCAATGGATAATATAAGAATTTTAAGACGTATGTCTCTTTCCATGGAGATCCCCATGGCATATTGTTGATCTCAAGGTAAGATTTTAGGGCTGAAGACAATGTGATGCCTAGCAATCGCCATTCCACTGAGCTGGCTAAAGGCATTATATATACAAATGCAATGCATCAAATGTTCTAACATATCCTACATATTTTAATTTCAATTTACAAAGTTCCACCCTTTATTATTAATTCCTTTATCTAATTAGTTCTTGATTAAAGATTAAATCGAGGTGAAAAAAAAAAATGTTTCTTGTAGTAGACAGCGGGAATTGAGAGGTTACATCCATGTTCAGGAGGTTCGTGGCATTTTTAAGAACATCCACTGGTGTTTACTAGCCTCGAACCACTCCTACTAATTAAAAAGATCCGTTACATGAGGTATAAGAGTTCAAAACCCTAAAAAGGAATCTTTAAAATCTCGATTTAACCTCTTGAATTAAGTTCCTTAAATTCATGCGTGTCGTATGATTTGATTACAGCATGAAACCAACGAGTGTGATGCACTCTTTTTTTTTTTTTTTTTTTTTTTTTAAAAAAAAATTGTTAAGGGT